TTCTTAAACAAAAAACAGCACTATTCAAAATGCATTCTTCTGTATTTTGCCTCCCCCCCCCACTTACTCTATCTCGGAAATAATTCTGCATCAGTGCACAGGGCAACCTTGTTCTTATTTATGGCTGCATGGTATTCTATTGTCTGCAAGAGCCACAGTTCATTTAACCAGAGCCCGATCACTGAACGTTTGGTTTATTTCCAAACTCTTATTAGAGACAAAGCAGCAGTGATTTTCCTTGCACTTTCGTTTCCACTCACGTGGGTATAAATGTCGGAGAAATTCTTGGCAGTGGAATTGTTGCATCAAAGGGCTCATGCATCTGAAATCCTGGTAGATATTGCTCAGTGGGGTTTATACCAACTCGCTCTTCCACCGGGAACTTGTAAGAGTGCCTGTTTCCTGACACCTACACCCACATGGTGAGTGATCACACTTTCCACATTTTGCCAATCCCTTAATTGAAAAATGGTTGCTCGGTGGCATGTTAATCTGCATTATGTTATTATGAGTGAGGCTGAACATCTTTTCATACCTTTTAGAGTCGTTTGTATTTTCTGTGAACTGTCTGTATAAATAATTTGCCTGTTTTTCTATTAGGCTGTTGGTCTTATTTACTTGGAGGTCTTTACACATCAAATGCACCACCTCTTTGTCTCCACGATAGGCTTCAAAAATGTTTTTTTGAGAACAGGCTGCTTTTAGATACAGATGAGAAGTTTCTGCAGGTCGCATCATTTTCTGCACATTGCTGCAGGGCTGTGCAGTGGCTGAGGCATCAGGAAGACTGTGCAGGGCTCTTAAAGGTGAGGTTAGAAGCCAGACAGGGGGCCCTGGGAGTGGGAGGACAAGGAGGTGGATGTCAGCTCTTGTGATGGATGGAAGATGCTGCCACAAGAGACCTCTAGTGCAGGAAGTGGGCAGACAGGGTGGCCTGGCTTTAAGATCCCTCTGCCCCCCACCCTGAAATACCTGAGGATAAACAAGTCAAGTGGGAGGACCCACCAAGAGGGTCATCAATTTCTGGCCATGTAGGCCTGATAGGGTGGTTACTGCATCTGGAAGCTCCTAGGAACTAATTCATTCCTGCCTTCCTTCCTTCCTTCCTTCCTTCCTTCCTGCCTTCCTTCCTTCCTTCCTTCCTCCCTACCCCTTCCCTTCCCTTCCCTCCCCTTCCCTCCCCTCCTCTCCCCTCCCCCTCCTGTCCCCCTCCCCCTCCCCTCCCCTCCCCTTTCCTTCTTCCCTCCCTTCCTCCCTCCCTTCCTTCATTTCCTTCCTTCCTTCCTCCCTCCCTACCTCCTCCCTTCCCTTCCCTCCCCTCCCCTCCCCTTCTCCCCTCCTCTCCCCCCTCCCCCTCCCCTCCCCTGCCCTCCTCTCCCTCCCTCACCCCTCCCCTCCCCTCCCCCCTTTCCTTCTTCCCTCCCTTCCTCCCTCCCTTCCTTCATTTCCTTCCTTCCTTCCTCCCTCCCTACCTCCTCCCTCCCCTCCCCTCCCCTTCTCCCCTCCTCTCCCCCCTCCCCTTCCCCTCCCCTGCCCTCCTCTCCCTCCCTCAACCCTCCCCTCCCCTCCCCTTCCCTCCCCTTCTCCCCTCCTCTCCCCCCCTCCCCTCCCCTGCCCTCCTCTCCCTCCCTCCCCCCTCCCCTCCCCTCCCTTTCCCTTCCCTTCTTCCCTCCCTTCCACCCTCCTTACCTCTTCCCTTCCCTTCCCTTCCCTTCCCTTCCCTTCCCTTCCCTTCCCTTCCCTTCCCTCCCCTCCCCTCCCCTCCCCTCCCCTCCCCTCCCCTCCCCTCCCCTTCCCTCCCCTCCCCTCCCCTTCCCTTCCCTTCTTCCCTCCCTTCCTCCCTCCCTTCCTTCCTTCCTTCTTTCCTTCTTTCTTTCTTTCTTGAGACAGAGTCTCACTCTGTTGCCCAGGCTGGAGTACAATGGCATGATCTTGGCTCACTGCAACCTCCGTCTCCCAGCTTCAAGCGATTCTCCTGCCTCAGCCTCCTGAGGAGCTGGGATTACAGGCACACGCCACCATGCTTGGCTAATTTTTGTATTTTTAGTAGAGACGGGCTTTTCACTACGTTGGTCAGGCTGGTCTTGACCTCGTGATCCGCCCACCTTGGCCTCCCAAAGTGCTGGGATTACAGTCGTGGGAGAATGGCTTGAGCTGAGGAGTTGGAGGCTGCAGGGAGCTATGATGGTGCCTCTGCACTCCAGCCCAGGTGACTCAGACAGCAACAAACATGAGATCGCCTCCATTGCCTACACCTCCTAGCCTGCCCTTCAGGGGCTTCTAATCCACCCACTTCCCTGGTTTCCTCTCCTGCCACTGCTGCCCACCCACCTTCTCTCCCACCTCACGCTCCATGTTCCTCCAGCAATCGTACTGGTCACTTTTCGAGCACTTTCTCCGAATACTTTCACGTGAAATATATTCTTTAAGACTCATAACAATCTATGGGGTCTACGAGGGTGAGCCTATTATCAACCCCACTTGACGGATGAGGAAACCAAGACCCAGAGACATTTTAGGGGCTTTCCCAAGGTCATCCAACAAGCAGATGGCAGCGTTCAGATTCAAAACCCTCTGACTCTCTGTCCAGGGAGGCTAAGTGCTTCGCCACTGCTAACCAGTTACCAGTCCTGGAGCGCACCATGTTCCTTCAAGCTCGCCTGCCTTTGCTCATGCTGGGTCCCCATCTGGAGGGCTCTCCTTTCTATTGTCCACTTGCCAAAAACCTTGTCCTTCAAGCTCTCACTCATGGGTCACCTCCCCTGTGAAGCCTTTTCCAGCTTCCCCAGAAAGAGCTGGCGTCTCACTTGTTGACTTTACAATTGAGAACTTTGTGCTCTGATTATCTGGGGACCTGTCTTCCCCATCAGTGTGCCCCTCAGTGGGCAGACTGTGCCTTATCTCTCTCTAGTGTCTTGTGCAATGCCTGGCACAGGGTGAGTGCCCTCTAAATGCTTGGCAGCTGAATGACAATGGCCCCAGGATTTCTTCTCCCTGGCACATGGTTGGGAAGGACTTCTGGCAGTTGCCAGCGGAAGTTTCGAGGGGGTAGGAAGTTTCAGGGCCCCACCCTGGGAGAGACATCCATCTAGGGGCAGCTGGAGACAATTTTACCACTTGCCTTTGGGCCAAGACCATCCCCAGGGGATCCAGCTGGTGGGGAAGTTCCATACTTGCACTACCCCTGGAAGTCCTTGGGAACCAGCTAGCCCAGCCCTAGGGGGGTTTTCCCCTCTTGTGATGTCAGGAACTGAACCAAGAAGGGAAGCAATTCTTGTAATGGTCTCTGGATGCTACATGAGGAAGTGTGGTCAGAGTCTCCATGCTTAGTGTCGGGGCTGCCCCAGCCCGTGCCCGTTAGACCCCAGGAACAAAGGGGTTACGCAGTTTTTGTAAGAAGGTAGTTCCGGGGTGGGTGGGGACTTCCTTGGGGTGTGAGGGAAGTTGCCCCATCCCCGGAGCTGTGGGGTAAGAACCGCTTGTCCCAGTGCCTCTCAGCTCCCCTGTCACTGTGCTCTGGCTAGGACTTTGGGCAGTTTCTGAGCTTTTCTTGCAAAGCCCCAAGGCCTTTAAGGGGACTCCTATATCTTTGGCCCCATCCCTACCCAAACAACTTCTCTCTCTCCATCTGCCTCACTCAGGAACTTACTAAGGTTCCCTGTGGCCTCAGGCTATGGCCACTACATCCCAAAGTCTCAGAGACGGGACAGTAGAGAGGCTAGGGGTATGAGCTCTGGGTGAGCCAGACATGAGTCCAAAGCCCAGCTCACTGTGTGACCTTGGGGTATTCACTTCACCTCTTGAGCTCCAGTTCCTTCATTCATAAAATGAAAATAAATAAAATCAACAACCTCAAAATTAAGGAATGGCTCAATCGAATGAATTTGCTCAGTGGAAGTTATCACAGATCAGTCATTCTCAGAGAGGTCTGTGGACCATCAGCACCACCTGGGTACTTGTTAGAAATGCAAAGTATTGGCCAGGGATGATGGCTCATGCCTGTAATCCCAGCACTTTGGGTGACCGAGGAGGATGGATCACCCGAGATCAGGAGTTCAAGACCATCCTGGCCAACACGGTGAAACCCCATCTCTACTGAAAATACAAAAATTAGCCAGGCATGGTGGCGCATGCCTGTAATCCCAGCTACTCAGGAGGCTGAGGCACAGAGGTTGCAGTAAGTCCACCTTGTGCCACTACACTCCAGCCTGGGTGACAGAGCAAGACTCCGTTTCAAAAAAAAAAAAAAAAATTAGGAAAGCATTACAGAGTAAAAGAAGCAATAGAATGAAACTCTTATATAATACCATTTATGCAAACACACACACAGCACTGTGTAGTTTAGGCCCAGGGACATATATCAGCATGTAGGGTGAGGTGCTCATGGTAAAGAGGGAGAAGGAGTGTGGGGAACATGTGGATTGGGAGAGGGATAAAGTGAAACATCAGAAGGGCCCCGCATGGACCAGCAATGTTGGGATGATCATTGACCACAAACCAAGTATGAATTATGGAATTCTTTGGACCTGGAGTCCTAATAATATTGCTTGAAAATTGCTAACAGTACCTATTTTATGGTGTGTACCATGCGTCTGGCCATGGAAGGCTTTGCAAGGTTTCACAAACACATTTTGGCTCTCCTATGTGAGTGCCTCCTCTCAGACCTCATTCCTTTCAGCTTTCCAGCCTTTACTCAGGCTGTGCTGAGTGCTGTCCTTACCCTGACTTCTCTGCCTCTCCAGCCTTGCCTTCACCTTTCTTCGACTACCCCAGACTCCCAGATGGCTGCCTATGGAGTCTTGGCTATTTCTCACGTGGGATTGAGCACAGAGCTAGGCTGTAATAAGGGCGCAAGAGGAGAAATCCTGTTTCTTCATCCCAAACAGTGAGCTCTCCAGAGGGTCTTCTGAATATCTCACCCCCACCTCAATTGGGGTAAGATGCACCCAGGCATCTTTTGCTCATTACTAGGCAAGAAAGGTAAACTGAGCCACAAAATGTTTGATGTAGAGAGGAACAACATTTATTGAGCACTTATGTGCTAGACCCAGCACTAAGGTCTTAGCTCTCAGTAATCCCCGTGGCCACAGGGTTAGTTAGATGGGGCTGAGCTCACTGGACAGATGGAGGGACACAGAGGTTCAGACACGAACCAGAAAGGGGCCCCATGTCGGCCTAGCTCCAAATCCAAGAGCTGAACAAATAACTTGTTCAGGGTCTTAAGGCCAGAAAGGGGTCCAGATCACCCCACTGAGTCAAACCTGGGTAGTGGATACCATTTACTCCACACTGACTGTACAAGTCAGGCATCAGGGGACGGGGGACCCTGACATTTACAGCCTGAAAAAGACCTTCCACGCTACTTTATATGCTCAGTTCGAGGTCATATAAGGAGAATTGGGAGTTTCCCTCAAGCCTCTTTCTCTCTTTTTGAACCGCACTTTCCCAATCTGTAAAAATAGGACAGAGTTCCGGAAATTCTTTTCTCTGTCTGCCAGCAGGTGGAGCCCACCCTTCGGGCCTTCCTCAGCTTCCAGAAAGTTGCGGCGTTCCGGGGAGAAGGGTGTGTTCTGGGGTCAAGCGCTCTGGGCTTCTGGGACAAACCAGGATCGCTGCCCAGCCCCAGCCCGACAGAGCAGCCCGGGAGCCCCGGGTGACTGCTCGGACTTTATGGCCCGGCTTCGTTCGCCCCCTGCAGGACACTCTCGGTACTGCGGGGCGCCGGGCCCCGAGGGCAGGGACCGAGACCCTGAAGTGAAGATGCCCCCGCCCCCGCCACGTGTGATGAGAGGGCCCTGGGGATAGGGACCCCCGGGATAGGGTCCCCCAGGTAAGGCTGAGACTCAGTTGGGCTGCGGGGCCACACCATCCTCAGGGGCAGAGGCTACAGGTAGTTGTCTTCAGCAGCGGCGTCCTCGCCCCTGGGCTCATCCTCATCCTCGTCGTCGTCGTCGGGGGCCAGCGCCTCGATGTCGTGCGTGATGTTGGCCAGCAGCCGGTGGAAGGCCTGTGCCTCGGGCCGCTGGGCCGCGCCGTCGTAGCTGCGCACCGCGGAGGCCGATGTGGAGCTCATGCTGCGCTTGATGCGGCCGAAGCTGTCAGTGAGGATGCCGCCCTCGCGGATGCCCACACCCTCCAAGAAGCCCTCGAAGTAGCCGATGTCCTGGTCCGGGATGAAGGGCCGCATCCCTGTGAGCCGAGGGTCGGGGTGAGTCCCGGGGGCGCAGCCCCTTTCCCTCCCACAGGGGAAGAGTCCTTTCTGCAGATCTGGGTTCAAATCCCTGCTGTCACTCACTGGCTGTGTGGCCTTGCCCAAAGTCCTTAACTCTCCAAGCCAGTGAATAACGACACAGCGCTCAGCACACAGTGAATGCTTGCTACATGCTAGGTTACCATACTTTATATTATGATAACCTCTGCCTCCCAGGTTCAAGTGGCTCTCATGCCTCAGCCTCTCAAGTAGCTTGGATTCTAGGTGCACACACCATGCCCTGCTAATTTTTGTATTCTTTGTAGAGACAAGGTTTGGTCAGGCTGGGCTTGAACTCCTGACCTCAAGTGAAACCCCAGCCGCAGCCTCCCAAAGTGCTGGGATTACAGGTGTGAGCCACCTCACCAGGCTTATTTTTGTTTTTATTATTAGTACCATCATTGTATTCCTATTTATTTATTTTTGAGAGAGTCTCACTGTGTTGCCCAGGCTGGAGTGCAATGGCGCGATCTCAGCTCACTGCACCCTCCACCTCCCAGGTTCAAGCCATTCTCCTGCCTCAGCCTCCCAAGTAGCTGGGACTGCAGGCACCCATCACCATGCCCGGCTAATTTTTGTATTTTTAGTAGAGACGGGGTTTTCACTATGTTGGTCAGGCTGATCTTGAACTCCTGACCTCGTGATCCGCCCACCTCGGCTTCCCAAATTGCTGGGATTACAGGCGTGAGCTACCGCGCCTGGCCAGTCCCATTGATTAATTATGTTGAACTTCATTTTCCTCATCTGAGAAATTGAGATCATTGCACCTGTTTTCTGGGCAGGGATGTGAGGATTAAATAGCAAGGTACTCAGTGCACACTGAGCACCTTGTAAACAGTCTTACTGGCTATGCGACCTCAGTCCTCTACTTTGCTTCTCTGAGTCTCACTTTCCTCACCTGCTGCAAAATGGGGACCAATAATAGTATCTACTTCTCAGAACTGGGGGCATTCAATGAGATGATGCTTAGCACATGATAACTACCAAGCACCTCAGTTTATTCGTATTATTCCTCATGTTATGATTAGTCCTCCTTACTAGCTGTGTGACCTTGGACACGTGCCTTAGCCTTTCTGAGCCTCAGCTTCCTCGTGGGGTGAGATGGGAAGAATCAGTCCCTCTCCCAGCTTTGCTGTGAAGATGAAATGGCCACACCACTGCTTACTTCTTCTTATCAACAGCTCTGACAAGTTCCTTCCTACTCTACACCTTGGGCTCCTCATCTGCCCTGCGAATCTCATGATCTGGGCTTGATCAGAGGCTGAAGGATAAGAAAACACTCGCAGCGCAGTGCCTGACTGGGATGGCATGGACCAAGTCGGGGCCCTAGCTGACCTCTGGGGTGCGGCGGGGCTCACCGAGGAGGAGGAACTTGCGCCGGTCTCCGTAGAGCTTCAGCAGGCCTGCGCAATAGTCCTGGATGGGCAGCCCCAGCCGGTACTCCCGCAGCAGCAGCGCAAACTGCTGGATCTCCAGCGGCCCCAGCTTACTCCGCAACTATGTGGGGGACACCATTCGAGATCAATCCCAGGGAGCAGCCCCACCCAACCCCTGCCCAAAAGGCCCAGAGCCTTCGCTAAGGACATGTTGGCTCAGCTCTCCTCTGAAAACCCTCCCATGGGCTACTCTGGGGACATCCAGACCCCATAGGCTGCATCTAAGAATAGGATATGGACTCAAGCTGCCTGAGTGCAAATCTTGGTCCCTTCACTGGATCAGCTCTGTGATCTTGGGTAGGTGACAACCTCCATGATGCTTGCTTTTCTCATCTGCAAAGTGAGGCTAATGATGGAATCTTCCTCTTGGGGTTGTTGAAAAGATTGAAAGAAGGTACTTAGAATGGTGCCTGGTATGCAGCAGGCACCAATTAATGCCAGCTGACATTAGTTAAGGTCTTTCACAAGTGGGCCTCAGTTTACTCCCCTAACCTCATCTCCTGCCCTGAGCTCTGATTTGGTTTCATCCAGGATGATGTGCAATTCCCAAAATGTTGACTCCAGGCTCCAGGCTTTTGCTTGTGCCGTTCCCACCGCCTGCCCCAGCTCACCGTGACCAAGTAATCCTGTAACTGCTCGAAGCCCAGGCCACTGTGGTCGCTGCCGCTGCAGTGGGAGCCATGGAAAGAAGGTGTGGACGTGCCACTGTAACATGCTTCAAAGGTGTCCTGGGAGCCATTGCTGCAGGTGCGGGAAGAAAGGGGCCTTCATTCATCTCCCTCCAGCTCGTTGCTCTCAGGCAGGCTGAAGGTGGCAGGGCTCAGCTGCTGATGTTCTGAGGCCGCATCCTAGACTACACGCTGGCTTCCAAGGCCTCGAGTACCCTGGCCCCGGCACCTCTCAAGCCTCATCTCACTGTGCTTGCCTTTGCTCTTTGTGCCCCACCCATCTTCTCCTTCTTCCTCTACTATCTCCTCACCTCTGGGAGTTTGCACCTGCTGTCCCCTCTGCCTGGCATGCCTCATTTCCCCTCCCTTTTGCTCAGCTAACTCTTCCCATGGTCTTAAATGTCATCTCCTTAGGAGAGTGTTCCCTAATTCCCCTAGGTTGGGTTAGAAACTCTGTCGAACGTGCTGCCTCATTCGTGACACGCTTGGCCTTTCCAGGTCCCCCAAGCATCCTCTGTGACCACTCTCTCCCTCACACCCTCTGCCACAGCTACAGTGGCCGCCTGCTGCTCCTCAAACCCACTAAGCTCTATCCTGTTTTCCTGTTCAGAAGTCTTTTTAAAAAAAAATTTTTTTTGAGACAGAGTCTTACTCTGTCACTAGGCTGGAATGCAGTGCTGAGATCTCAGCTCACTGTAGCCTCCGCCTCCCAGGTTCAGGTGATTTTCATGCCTCAGCCTCCCCAGTGGCTGGGACTACAGGCATGTGCCACCATGCCTGGCTAATTTTTGTATTTTTAGTAGAGCAGGGTTTCACCGTGTTGCCCAGGTTCCTCTCGAACTCCTCACCTCAAGCAATCTGCCCACCTCAGCCTCCCACAGTGCTGGGATTACAGCAGTGAGCCACCAGGCTGGGCCAATTCAGAATTCTTACATTTGCTGTTCCCTCTACCTGGAACACTCTTCCCCCTTTCATCCTCCAGGCCTCAGTTCATGCGCCATCACCTCTGAGAGGTTCTCCTGACTCCCCAGCTGAGTCAGGGTCCCCCTCAGCCTCTCTTAGCACCCCGAGCCTCCCTTTAGCACTTATCCCCATCAGTGATTGTTATTGTGAAATGATGATTTCGTTGCCTCCCATGCTAGATTGTAAACGTGACGAGAGGAGGGAACCTTGGTTTTCTTCATTTGCTGAACACCTACTATGTGCCAGGCCCAGGTTTTGACCCCTGTCTTTTGTCCATCTGTATCCCCAGCACACAGCACAGTGCCTGGCACATAGAAGGTACTCAAGAAATATTGCTCAATAAAAACTCAACTTTGGGCTCCTGCCTCCTTGTCTCTAAAAATTATTCCGGAACCATCCTCCATTGTTACCTACAAAGAAGCAGTGTAGCTTTGTGGTTAAGGGACTGGACTCCGGAGCCAGCCTTCTTGTGTTCAAATCCCAGACCTACAACTTACTAGCTGCTTGACCTTGAGAAAGCTAAATTTTATTTCTCAGTTTTTCCATCTGAGATAATAATAATTGGTGGGATCACGAGAATGAGAGGAGTTAATATTTGTAAAACACTCAGAATCATGGACTACAGGCAATAAGTAAACAGTAGCTGCTGTAATGTTGCTATGTCGATGAAAAAAATAAAGTGCTTTATAGAATGGCACTTAGAACACAGCAAGCTCAGTGTTCAAACACTATTATTATTTTCCCTCTCCACTAGATATCTGGTTGTTTAAAGATTGGCCTAAGGGCACACAGTATGAGGAAGGCAAATCTATCGCCACTAAAAAGGAAAAAAACAGTAAGGCAGGTATCACTGGCAGAGACTGCTACATGCCAAAGCCAAGCCCTTAGTGACACGACTAGGCGATCAATTCATAGCAGGCTACCCAGGACTTTCTTGGTTTTAGCGCCGAAAATCTCATATCCTGGGAAACCTCTCATCCCTGAGCAAACTGGGATGGCTGGTCACCCTAAACAGAACCCTGGGGAATATTCCCAACTGAACTGTTTAAAATTTTATTTGTTTATTTATTTATTTAGAGACAGAGCCTCGCTCTATCGCCAGGCTGGAGTGCAGTGGTGCAATCCCGGCTCACTGCAACTTCCGTTTTCCAGTTTCAAGCAATTCTCTTGCCTCAGCTTCCTGAGTAGCTGGGACTACAGGCATGCACCGCCACGCCCAGCTAATTTTTTTATACTTTCAGTAGACAGGGTTTCACCATGTTGGCCAGGATGGTCTCTATCTCTTGACCTAGTGATCTGCCCGCCTCAGCCTCCCGAAGTGCTGGGATTACAGGCGTGAGCCACCCCACCCGGCCTATTTGTTTATTTATTTATTTAAATAGAGACAGGGTCTCCCTATGCTGCCCAGCTGGTCTCAAACTTGTGGGCTCAAGTGATCCTCCTGCCTTGACCTCCCAAAGTGTTGGGGTTACAGGCATGAGCCACCGCTACTGGCCTGAAAAATGTTTAATTAATTATTTATTTGAGACTTGGTTATGAGACTGGCTAAATTTTTGTATTTTTGGTGGAGATGGGATTTCACCATGTTGCCCAGGGTGGTTTGGAACTCCTGGGCTCAAGCAATCCACCTGCCTCAGCCTCCCAAAGTGTTGGGATTACAGGTCTGAGCCACCACATCCAGCCTGAAATATATATATATATTTTTAATCCTAAATTTTCCAGCTTTGCTTGCAGCTAGTGATCGCTATGTGACCAAGTCCTGCCTATGAGATATAAGCAGAAGTCATCAGGTGGGAATCTGGCAAAACTCTTTAGAGAGGCCCCTGGCATGCTACTGTGATGGCTGGAGCTACAACCACCATCTTGGTCCATGAGGTGACCTTGAGTTTGGCTGCAAGTCCTGAAGAGGGTAGGGGAGGAAAGAGAAGCCCAAACTCCTAATGACCATGAAACGTTGAATTGCTCTATTTTATGTCAGAGATAAGAAAAAAGTTCTATTTTGTTTAAGATACTCTTTTTGGGGTTTTCTATTACGTGAAACCAAAATCAAAGTAAACCAAAATTATCTTTTGGCCTTTAGCTGTGATTTTGGTCTCTGCAGGCCACTATGCCTGGATGACTGGGAGAGAACCACACAGGCCTGTGTAGACCCAGGTCTGAGTTCTGGTGTCTCCTGTGTCTCTCAGGGGTCTGGATCCTGTGAGTTTCCCGAGTCAGGGAGCTCAGTTTACCTCCCCCTCTTAGTGCCCAGTGTCTCAGCACACATCAAGGTTGAGTCACCTTCTCCCACCCTGTCGAGACTAGTGACCCTGTTTGTGCACGGGTAGGGGAGGAGGGTGGAGTCCCTGACACAGGCAGTACTCACAAGGAACTGCAGCAGCTGAAGTCAGCATCATAGGCGTACGTCCCATCTGTGCGGCAGCTCTCACCTGGGACCAGCAGACAGAGGCGATGTCAGAGGCAGCAAAGCAGGGATCAGCATCCCCTCCTCCCTGAGGCACCACCCTCAGTCTCAGTCTGGTCCTGCCTCTGACACCAACACACAGCAGACCCTGGGGAACTCCCCTCTCCTCTCCTGATCCTCCACTTCCCTGACATGGGGACAATACCACCTCCCTGCCTTCCTCATGAGGGCCCTGAGAACAGCAGATGAGGAAAGATGTGAGAGGATATTTTGTCAACTATGGGTTTCAGGCAAGAAAAAAAAAGTGTCAGCTGAATGCAGTGGCTCATTGCCTGTAATCCCAGCACTTTGGGAGGCTGAGGCCGGAGGATTGCTTGAGCCCAGGAGTTCAAGACCAGCCTAGACAACTTAAAGAGACCCCATTTCTACAACAACAAAAAAATTAGCTGTGTGTGGTTGTGCATGCCCATGGTCCCAGCTACTTTTGAGGTTGACATTGGAGGATTATTTGGGCCTGGGAGGTCATGGCTGCAATGAGCTGTGATTGCACCACTGCAGTCCCAGCTGGGTGACAGAGCAAGACCCTGTCTCAGAAAAAAAAAAAAAAAAAAAAAAAAAAAAAGAAAGTTGTGAAGGAAACCCTCAGAGCAAAGAAACACCATGTACGAAGAACTTGCTGTCTTCCTAGTCCTGTCGTTTCATTTATCTGGGTATTAGCCTCACCCTTTCTAATCACTCAGTGTTGCTTCCTTACCCTCCAGATGGGGCCAGTTCCTCATTATACATTCTCCTAGCACAGTCTGTGGTTATGTATTTATCTATTTATTTTGAGACGGAATTTTGGCTCTTATTGCCCAGGCTGGAGAGCAGCGCTTGATCTTGGCTCACTACAACCTCTGCCTCCAAGTTTGATTGATTCCCTCCTGCCTCAGCCTCCCGAGTAGCTGAGATTACAAGTACCTGCCACCACACCCAGCTAATTGTTGCATTTGTAGTAGAGATGGGGTTTCACCATTTGGCCAGGCTGGTCTTAAACTCCTGACGTCAGGTGATCCACCTGCCTTTACCTCCCCACGTGGTGGGATTACAGGCATAAGCCACTGTGCCTGGCCTGTGGTTATATATTTATTTGTGTCCTTATTCAATTACCGTCAGCCTGCCTCCACTAAGTAAACTTCATGAAGACAGGGCCACCTTTGGTTCTGCTCACCAGAATAACCTAGTGGTCAGCACTGGATCTGACATGGTAGGTGCTCAATAAATATTTGCTAAATGAATGAATTTGTTGGAATATTTGTTGAATTATCTCATTTATTTGCCCATCATCCTTGTGAGAGTTGAAGTAATCCAGCTTCCCAACAAGCACAGCTCCCACAGATGGGAGGGCCTTTGGAAGAAAAGAGCCAGCACTCTGTTGCTGGGACCATGCTGTGGGAGAGAGTGGCTGTGGGAATTCACTCCCTGGCCTGAAGGCAGCACGGGGAGTGAGGTTGTTGCTGAGAGAGCTTCAGAATCAGACAGACCTAAGTTTGAACACTGCCTCTGCTACTTACCAGCTGTGTGACCTTGAGTAATGTATTGACTACTCTGAGCCTCCATGTCCTCATCTGTAAAACTGGAATCCTAAGGCCTCAGAGAGTTCTTTCATTCATTCAAAGAATACTTCGTGTCTGATGTACCCAGTCCCATGGTAGCCACGGGGGATACAGTGACAGAGGAAGAGGACAGGCAAGGTTGCTATGAGGACATGGCACATTGGTACTGTGCTTGGCACACAATTGGTGCTCAACAAATGCCTCTATTAGTCTCATTCTCATTCTAGTCCTTGAGTGTATCCAAGGATCCATCTGGAAATCTTGGTTTTGCCTTAGGGTCCTAGTGAGACCACTGGCTCAGTAAACAGACAGTACATGTGCTTAGGTTTCTGCAATACAGGGACACAAAAACAAAAGGGAGAGAGAGGAGTTCAACTCTAGGGGGCTTGTTCTGAATTTGGCAGCCCAAATGTCTTTGAAGAAGCTAAGTTTGACATTGTCATGAAAATTGACATTTCACCCACAAATGGGGGGCACACTATAATTACGGCAGAGATCAGGAACACTAATGCCTTCGTCAGCCCCGAGTTCTGGACATCTTCCCTCCTCTGGCCTTTTTGGGATGTTTCACAGGAGAGGAGGTCAGGAGTTCTAGTACTCACTGCGGCTGCAAAGCCATGGCCGTTCGGGCGTGGATGTGTAGTGGTAGCCAGCCCGGTCCACGCACTCAATACTCTGGTCCCCGTAGATGATCTGGAAGACCTGACAGATGAGTGCACAGGACTCCTCTGCAGCGTCCTGGCCCAGAGAGGAGGAGAGAGAGTTCAGGTCCTCACCAACCACCAGGATGTTACCCTGCTTCCTAAAACAGTGTGAAGATGCACACAAAGATACACACCTGTAGAGCCCTTTAAACTGGGTCTCAAGACTTTTTCCATCAAAATTTTATGGCTACTTTCTGGATCTTGGGACCCCTTTATAGAATTCAGTGACAAATCTGACTCTTGTGCCATGAAAAATGTACCCCAGATTTCTAGAGGATTCATCAGCCTTCTTGATGCCCATCTAAGATAAATCCTGATTTAGTTTAATATATAGGTATGGAAACTGAGACCCAGAGAGAAGAAGTGATTAGTCAGGATTAGAATCCAGTTATCCTAATGCCTAGCGGGAGAAGAGATGATTAAATGTATCAGAATTTTAGCCTCAATATAGTTACTAAAACTGGAAGCCATCTTTAGATATGAGCTTCCTGGCATTCAGTGTGAAAATGGAAGCAGGGGCCGGGCACAGTGGCTCACACCTGTAATCCCAGCACTTTGGGAGGCCGAGGCAGACAGATCATGAAGTCAGGAGTTCTAGACCAGCTTGGCCAACATGATGAAACGGTGTCTCTACTGAAAATATAAAATTAGCCGGGCGTGGTGGCAACATGCCTGTAATCCCAGCTACTCAGGAGGCTGAGGCAGGAGAACCTGGGAGGCAGAGGTTATGGACAGCCAAGATCACACCATTGCACTCCAGCCTGGGCAACAAGAGCAAAACTCTAAGAAAAAAAGAAAAGAAAATGAAGGCAGGATAAATAAAGGCAAAGAGGATTCTTTTTTTTTTTTTTCCAAGACGGAGTTTCACTCTTCCACCTCAGCCTCCTGAGTGGTGACAGGCACACACCGCCATGCCCAGCCAATTTTTTGTAACTTTAGTGGATATGGGGTTTTGCCATTTGCCAAGCCTGGTCTGGAACTCCTGGGCTCTAGTGATCTGCCTGCCTCAGCCTCCCAAAGTGTCAGGATTACATTTATTTACTCACTCTGCAAATTCCCATTTGGTCCTATTGTGTGGCCAGCACTGGGCCGGGTTCAGCATCCCAAAGCCCTCACAGATCAGTGGGATGAACAGGGCACACTGTTGGCTTTGTCTGGAATCCTATTTCCAGCCACAGAGGAAGTAGGCATGGTAGCCAGAGTACAAATGGCCTTGTAAGCAACTGTAAGGATGTTAGCTTTTATTTGGAGTGAAATGGGAAGCCACTGGAAGATGTAGAGTAGTGACATGATGTGACTTACATGCTAACAGAACCACTCTGTGTGGGGGAAGAGACTGTCAGCAAGAGCTGAACCAGTCAGAGGGTGACCACACGATTCAGGTGAAAGAAAATGAGGCATGGACCTGGCTGGGTACAGGGGAGGGTGAGCAGAAGTAAATGGGTTTTGATTATGTTCTCATTGTTGTTGTTTTGAGACAGAGTCTTGCTCTGTCACTGAGGCTGGAGTGCAGTGGCTTGATCTTGGCTCACTGCAACCTCCACTTCCTGGGTTCAAGCGATTCTCATGCCTCAGCCTCCTGAGTAGCTGAGATTACAGGCACCTGTTGCCACACCTGGATAATTTTTGTATTTTTAGTAGAGGCGGAGTTTCACCATGTTGTCCAGGCTGGTCTTGAACTCCTGACCTCAGGTAATCCACCAGCCTCAGCCGCCCAAAGTACTGAGATTACAAGCTTGATTATGTTTTAAAAATAAGAGCCAACAAAATTTATTGACAGAGTGGATATGGGGTGTGTGTGAGAAAGATAGAGACTGTGAGAGCTAGCCAAGGGCCACTGCAAGGTTTTGGCCTGAGCAATGTAAGGATGCAGCTGCTATTCACTGTGACAGGGAAACCAAGGGAGTAGCAGGTTTAGGGGAGGAGATTGGAGCTCAGCTTTGGACGTGTTTGGTTTGAAACCACTGTTAGATCTTCAGATGGAGAGACTGCATCGAGATTTGGTGAGAAATAAAACCTGAGGAATGTTCAGTGTTCTAAAAGCCGTGAGACGAGAGATCACCTAGAAATGGGTAGACGTAGGATAGACGGAGGAGGGAAGAGGACCAAGGGCGAAGTCTGGGGCACTCCAACCTCTGGAGAGAAGAGGAGGAACCAGCTTGGTAGGAGAAAAGCCTGGAGAAGGTGGAGAGCTGGAAGCCAAGCCAGGAAGTGTTTCAAGGGGAGAGAGACAGCTGTGGTGTCTGAGTTTACTGGTGATTAATGCCTTGCCCTTTAGACAGAAACTATGTTTTGTTCACCACTGTTTTTATACAGAAGGATTTGGTGGTCCAAGATCAGAGGAAAAGCTTAGAATGCTCAGAACTTGAAGGTGTCTGCCAGACTGTGAGCTCCCTGAGGGAGGACACCAGATGTCTTTTTCACGTCTGTATCCATAGCACCTAGCCCATTGCCTAGCACAGAGCTGGCACTCAATAAACATGGTTGGATGAATAAAAGCAAGGGGAAATGTAGAGGATGGGGGAGGGAAAGGGGAAGATGGAGGGGGAAGGAAGAATGGCAAGAAGGTTTCTGCCTTGGCTGACCACCTTAGTTATCAAGAGTACTGACTCTGAACTTCCTGGATTTGAATCTTAAAACCACCGAGGCTTCCCGTGTGATCTCGCCTATGTTACCGAACCTATGGATCTCGGTTTCCTTCTCTATAGAATGGTGATACAGTCGTTGTAATATTTGCCCTCAGAGGCTGCTGTGACAATTAAATGAGTCGATGCAGCCCTGTGTCTGCCATGAGCGGGCCCTCAATTCATGCTGGTGATTCGTGTCGTCGTGAATGTTACCGTAGTGGGGACAACACTGACAACGTTGAGGAAGGAACGCGGCTGGAGATGAGATCTAGTTTGTTTTGGCCACTGTGAGAGTTCGTCCCATTGAGGGAGTCAGGAGGAGGCGCCCCGGAGGTGCCCAGGTCCGGAGTTTAGGAGCGATTAGGCGGGGTGGGTGCAGGGAAAAGGCAGGGGCAGAGCCCAGGAACCTGCTGGGTGGGGCGGGGCAGGGTGGGGGAAAGCCGGGCTTTGCGCCCGGGCTGCCCTCGGGCTCACCCTGTTGGCCACAGCCAGGATGACCAGGTTGCAGTAGGCGTCGGGGCTGGGGTCCTGCGGGTCCAGCGGGTTGGGGCCCGGGTGTCGCCGCTCCCAGCTGCCGCCGCCTCCGCCGCCCGCCTGCCTCCGCTCCCAGCTGCCGCCCGGCTTGCCCGCGCCGCCGCCGCCGCCACCGCCACCGCCTCCGTGCCGCCGCTCCCAGCTGCCGCTGAAAGTCTGCCGCCGCTCCCAGCTGCCCGACGCCCGCGCCCCTGCGCGCTGGCGCTCCAGGCTGCCGCCGCCGCCTCCCCCGGCCCGGGCCTCCGCGGCGCCCCCGCCCCACCCCATCCGCCAGTCCAGGCTGCAGATGGTGTGGCGCCGCTCCGCGCTGCCCACCCGCCGCTTCTCGGGCGCCGCGCCTGGAGGGCCGGGGTCGCGTCCCGCGCCGCCGGGGCTGGCGTCCACGCCGGCAGGCACCGGGTCCACGCCCAGACCTAGGAGAGCCCAGGGGGCCATCAGCCTCGGGGATCGGGGCTCAGAGACCCCCTCTGAGGCCAGCTGGAGCACCTCGCGATTCTGGGGTCCCACCGCCGCCTCGCCCCCGGCTTTAACTTAGCGCGTTCCCGGCCCATTCCGCTTCCACACTTTCGGGCCCGGCTCGGCCTTAGTCTCCACCCCTGGGCTAGGGTTGGTGTGGCCAGGTGGCTTCCACGCTCCCCACGCGGCCCGCGCCCCTGGCCTCAGACCTACCCTCTAAGCTGAGGGTGGTGGTCAGGCTGTCCTCTCCCTAGGGAGCCTTAACTGGGGACCAGTCCCGGGTTTCAGGGACCGGCCCTTTGGATTCCAACCCTCCGCCTCTCCTCAGGCCCCGCCCCAAGCCCCAGGGTCCACCCTAGCCTCTGAGCCAGGTGGTAACTGCGGGCCTAGCACTGGCCTCGGGTCTTGGGCTTCTCCACCCTCTCGGTGCTCCACCACCTAGCCTCGGTGTAGTGGCTCAGGTCACCCACCTTCATCCTCAACCTCAGGCCCGGTCTGCTTGCCCAGGGCCTCTTTGGCCTGCCCCTAGTCTCAGCGTACTATGGACAGGCCTTTTCCATCGCCCCCGCCCCGCCGCAGGTCCCGCTCCTCTACCCGCAAACCTTCTGCCCCTGCCCCGCCCCCGCCCGCCGCACCGGTCTTGAGCACTAGCAGGTGCAGCGCGTCGTCCTGCAGGTAGGAGGCGGCGGCGATCTCGTGCGTAGGGATGCGCAAGATGAGCTCTTCATTGTCGCGCCAGGTGAGCAGCAGGCAGCGGGCAGACAGGCTCAGGATGCTGTCCTGCTCCGCCGTGGTCTTCAGCGGCAGCTCCTTCAGCTGCTGCAGGGAGGGGCAGATCTCGAGTTCCCGGGGTCCGCAGGGAGAAGACGGAGAAGGGGACGAGATCCTGCCCTCCTCCCTCCCCAGAGTCTCACCCTGGCGGTGTCTAGCAGCTGCAGGAGCTCGTCCCGACTGGAGGGGTTCAGTGAGGAAGTCACCCAAGTAAGGTGGCCCAGGAACTGGATGGAAATCGGAGTGAGAGAGGAACACAGAGAGGTCACCCTGAAGCCTTGAAGAACCCTGGCCTGCTCACTGATGCAGTGCGGATAGAGATAGAAATACCTGAATTAATAAAACCTGATAATAACTTTTACTGCGCCCATAAGAGAAGCCAGGCACAGTTCTGAGCACTCTCTGTATATTCGGTCATTCATCTTTTCTAAGGATGAAAAAAACCAAGGCAGGGTATGGCTGACTAAACAACTTGCCCAGGATCAGATAGCTAGAGAGGACCAAACTGGGCTTCACATGCCAGAGCCCACATTCTCAGCTACTGGCCTATACTGCCTTAGCACATAGTTATGTAGCTATAAGATTCCACAGAGAAGCAAAAGTCATTATAATAGCTTGAAAGAACTGACCACCTGTGAATTTCCTCTAGCCTGCACCCCAAGAGTCATTGTCAAACAAATTGCAAATCACTTGCCTTCCTTATGGTCATGTTGCAAAAGTCAAATGGAAAAGGAAAATGTCGGATCGAATTAGTATATCATTTTGTCAGAAAAATGAATGATGCTCTAAATCAGTAAATTTTTCATTCACTCTTAGTTATAGCCTAATGTTAGCACTTAAATGTATTCAATATAATAATTAACTTTTTTTTTTTTGAGATGGAGTCTCACTCTGTCACCCAGGCTGGAGTGCAGTGGCAAGATCTCGGCTCACTGCAAGCTCCACCTCCTGGGTTCAAGCGATTCTCCTCCCTCAGCCTTCTGGGTAGATGGAATTACAGGCACAGGCCACCATGCCTGGTGAATTTTTATATTTTTGGTGGAGACAGGTTTCACCATGTTGGCCAGGCTGGTCTCAAACTCCTGGTCTCAAGTAATACACTTGCCTCGGCCTCCCAAAGTGCTGGGATCAAGCGGGTGGGGCCGGGATGGCACCACTCCCAGCCAACTTTTAAAACATTATTTTTAGTTGTATTCTTCTAGGTGAATCCACCACCAATCAAACTTTTCTCTTCTTTTATTCTGTATGAAATTTCAGTCCCCAATTTTTAAGTGGATTTATTTGTTTTCCCTCTATATAGGGTTGCCAGATAAAATATAGGATGCCAGTTAAATTTGAACTTCAAATCAATAATTTTTAAGTTTTTTCTTTTTAGTATTTTTACTCCCTTGCAATATTTTGGACATATTTATGCTAAGAAACTATTCCTTGCTTATCTGAAATTCAGATTTTACTAGGTGGCTTGTTGTTTGCCAATTTGGACAACTCTACCCCCATATCAATCTTCTTAGGCTAAATGAAGACCCATCATTGCCTCTTCATGGTGTTCATGAAATAGAAGTATAGCTCCTGGCCAGGCACAGTGGCTCACACCTGTAATCCCAGCACTTTGGGAGGCCAAGGTGGGAAGATCACCTGAGGTCAGGAGTTCAAGACCAGCCTGGCCAACATGGTGAAACTCCCATCTGCATTATCACGCCTGTTATCCCAGCACTTTGGGAGGCTGAGGCGGGTGGATCACGAGGTCAACAGATCGAGACCATCCTGGTCAACATGGTGAAACCCCATCTCTACTAAAAATACAAAAAATTAGCTGGGCATGGTGGCACGTGCCTGTAATCCCAGCTACTCAGGAGGCTGAGGCAGGAGAATTGCCTGAACCCAGGAAGTGGAGGTTGCGGTGAGCCGAGATCACGCCATTGCACTCCAGTCTGGGTAACAAGAGCGAAACTCCGTCTAAACAACAACAACAAAAATTAGCTGGATGTGGTAGTGTGCATCTGTGGTCCGGCTGCTCAGGAGGCCTGAGGCAGGAGCATCTCTTGAACCCAGAAGGCAGAGGTTACAGTGAGCCGAGATAGTGCCACTGCACTCCAGCCTGGGTAACAGAACAAGATTTCATCACCAAAAAAAAAAGAAGTACAGCTCCTAAGTGGTGGAAGCCCTTTGTGCCTTGCTGTTAATCTGGACACTGTCTGAGTAACAGCAAGGTCTTTGAAGTAAAATCTCATGGGAAATGTGAAAGTCAATCAAAATAGAGTCACTTGTGTTAAAAGCCCTGACAAATAGAAGGGAGGATTCCCATGCATGAATGCCTGATAACAAGAACTATCAAAAAGACTGGAAAAACTACAGCTTTGCACAAAGGCCATCGAAACCTTACACACACACACACACACACACACACATACACACCCCACACACAGATTCCTGCAAGGACAGCAACTGCTTGTCCAACTTGCCTTCCTTGTTATTGGTCCTTGCAGCCAGGGATAATGATGTCAAAACAATTATGTAATCCTCCTCACTTTTCCTTTAAAAATCTTTGCCTTCCTTTACCTCCTGCATACACACAGTTTACCATGCCAGCCATATTCCCACTGCAATGCCTATTCCTGAGTAAACATCACTTTCTTTTAGTGAGTCTCCCCTTCTGTTATTTCAATTAACAAAGACAGGACTTTTCTGTGCATAAAACACTCTCCTATCCACTCTCCCCTGGGGATGGGAACCTGGAGGAGGCTCAGCAGATGGAAGTCACTTGCCGAGGGCAGGGGCAAGGCTGACCTGAACCCAGGTCTCTTTCCCAGGAGTCGAAACTTCCCCTGTATGAGACAGGGCTGATCAGAACTTGGTGTCAAGGAGAGGGGAGGGTCTCCTCACCCCAAGGTTTTTCCCACCCCTTCTCATTCTGCACCTACCTTGACCTCTTTCTCCAGGTAGTCACACAGCAGAATCTGGGGGTCGATGAGGTAGTCGGGGGGATAAAGGGGCATCGAGTGCAAGGGCCGGCGGCTCACGCTGCTCCTACAGGCTGCTCGGCGCCCGGCCTTGGGGAACACCAGCCTTCGGATGGGGGATACAAAGCCCTGGGGAGGAGAGGAGGAATGAGAGTGCTAACAGTGGCTGCTTTTATTGAGCACCTACTGTACTCACTTTAACTTACATTACCTCTCACTAAAACTCTGCAGAAGGGGTACCTCTACCTCTGTAAGTCCCATTTGACAGATGGAGAAACTAAATCCTAGAGAGGACCTAGCTGCTAAAGTCACCAGCTAGTAGTGGTGGAACCAACAGTTCAACTTGGGCGTTCTGGGTCCAAAAACCTTCTTTCTGAACCCCCAGGTGAGAATGTAGCTCCTGCCAACCAGGTTCGAGGAATGAGTCTAGGCTGAGGCAAATGCAGAAAAATATTAGGATTCAAGGCCGGACGTGGTGGCTCACGCCTGTAATCCCAGCCCTTTGGGAGGCCGAGGCGGATGGATCACTTGAGGTCAGGAGTTGGAGACCAGCCTGGCCAACACGGTGAAACCCATCTCTACTAAAAATACAAAAATTAGCCAGGCATTGTGGCAGGAGCCTGTAATCCCAGCTACTTGGGAGGCTGAGGCGGGAGAATCACTTGAACCCAGGAGACAGAGGCAGAGGCAGAGGTATGTGTGTGTGTGTGTGTGTGTGTGTGTGTGTGTGTGTGTGTGTGTATGTATAATATATATTAGGATTCAATGTAGTGGGTGCATAGCTATTTCTTATGCTAGTCTCTGTGCTTTCCTAAAAGTTAGAAATTATCAATAAATACATTTAAGTAGAATTCAGGGACACCTGCATAACAATGGCCTGAATCAAGGTTAAAGGTGCAAATTCTGGGGCTCAGCCCAGATGAACCATCCGAATCTCAAAAGAAAGTTTGAGTTCCATCTAGAACAGCATTTCTCAATATGAGATTCCTGGACCAGTAGCAGCCACATCACCAGCTAGGAAGTGAGAGAAATGCAGATTCTCGAGTCCCATCCCAGACCCACTGAATCAGAAACTCTGGGAGCAGGGCCCAGCAATTAGGGTTTCTCCAGGTGCTTCTGATGCAAGCTGAAGTGTGAGACTGCACTTCAGAGCAGCCGTTCCCAGCCCTGGATACCCTTTAGAACTACCTGGGGAAGGCCAGGTGCGGTGGCTCATGCCTGTAATCCTAGCAGTTTGGGAGGCTGAGGCGGGAGGAGAGCTGTGAGCCCAGGAATTCGAGACCAGCCTTGGCAACATGGTGAAACTGTCTCTACAAAAAATATACCAGCCAGACACAGTAGCTCATGCCTGTAATCCCAGCACTTTGGGAGGCCGAGGTGGGAGGATTATGAGGTCAGGAGTTCGAGTCCAGCTTGACCAACATGCCGAAACCCTGTCTCTACTAAAAATACAAAAATTAGCAGGGTGTGGTGGCGTATGCCTGTAATCTCAGCTACTCAGGAGGCTGAGGCAGGAGGGTCGCTTGAACCTGGGAGGCGGAGGTTGTGGTCAGCCAAGATCGTGCCACTGCACTCCAGCCTGGGTAACAAGAGCAAAACTCCGTCTCAAAAATATATATATACATATGTATGATATAGGTATATACAAAAAAAAAAAATTAGCCAGGTGTGGTGTGGTGGTATGCCCCTGTAATCCCAGCTACTTGGGAGGCTAATGTGGGAGGATCACCTGAGCCTGGGAGGTCGAGGCTGCTGTGAGCTGAGATTGCAACAGTGCACTCCAGCCTGGGTGACAGAGTGAGACCTTGTCGAAAAAAACAAGCAAACAAACCCACACTACCTGGGGAGCTTCTAGAACTTCAGATGTCCAGGTTACACTCCAGACCAATGGAATCAGAATTCTGGACTAAGACCCAGAGATAGGGTATTGCTCTGTTGCCCAGGTTGGGGTGCAGTGGCACAATCACAGCTCACTGCAGCCTCGATCTCTTAGGCTCAAGCAATCCCTCTGCCTCAGCCTTCCAAGTAATTGGGACTACAGGTGTGTGCCACCATGTCCTGCTAATTTTTAAAATTTTTAGTAGAGATGAGGTCTTGGTGTGTTGCCCAGGCTGGTCTTGAACTCCTGAGCTCAAATGATTCTCCTACCTTGGCCTCCCAAAGTGCTGGGATTACAGGTGTGAGCCATTGGGTTTAATGGACTTAATCTTAAATCTGTTAAGTTTTTTAAAGCCTCCTTAGGGAATTTCAAAAGGCAGCTCAACTGAAAACCGCTGAGTCAATGTGTGGTGTGATTACTTAATTCTTGTAACTAGTCAGGTGTGAGTAAGGTAAGACAACCCTCCCTCCCCTCCCCGCCCCCACCCACAAGGAGCTCACATTCTTGTTCGGGTAAACAGAACACAAGTCCACACATACATCTGTTCATTTACTTATTCATTCAGTAAACATTTATTCACACCTGTATGGCTGGACCCTGTGCTGGGTGCTGAGGATTCAGTGGAGACCTGGACCCCATCCTTGCCTCCAGGGCTTGTGAGAAATGACCTAGACTAGTAAGTTTCCAACTTTATGTGCCCTCCAGTTTTGATTCAGCAGGATTGGGTTGGGGCCTGAGACTCTGCATTTCTCCCGAGCTCCCATTTGTTGCTGATGTTACTGGTCTGTGCGCCACACTTTGAGTAGCCAGGATCTAAACTGGTGGTTCTCAAAGTGTAGCCCCACAACCATCAGCATAACCTGTGGGGCTGTTAGAATTGCAAATTCTTTCTGGCTCAGGCGATCCTCCCCCCTCTGCCTCACAGTAGCTGGGACCACAGACATGCACCACCACCACACCTAGCTAATATATATATTTTTAAGAGATGAGGTCTCATTCTGTTGCCCAGTCTGGTCTTGAACTCCTAGGCTCATGCAATCCTCCTGCCTCAGCCTCCCAAACTGTTGTGATTACAGGCATGAGCCACTGTGCCTGGCCAAAAATGCAATTCCTTGAACCCCACCCCAGACCTATTGGCCCAGAAACTGGGGGTAAAACCCAGTGATCTGTATTTTAACAAGCCCTCAGGTGATTCTAATGGGTGCTTAACTTAGAGTAGAACCAATATCATAGAACCTGGATGGGGTATGTAGAAACTGAGGAATGAGAGGAAACTATTTGGGAGAGAACATGCCAAGCAGAGGGCATGGCATATGCAGAAATCTGGATGCCTCAAAGGCTGGTTGAGGGTGAGCCTGGAGAAGCCATGTGCAGTCAGTCTGCGTGGCTAGATTATGAGATGAATATATAGAGGCCTTCAATGCCAGCTATGGAGCTGGGACTTTGTCTTGCATATGTGTGTGTGGTGGGGATCGGGTGGAGTTGGTATTTTTGTTGGTGGCCCTGAATGGCTCAGCTCTGCCCACCTGTCCAGTCCCATTTGTCTCACTCTTGTCCCCCGGGCCCCCACTACAGTCCTCCTTCAGTCCCTCCAGCGTGCTATGTTCCTTCCCACTGTGGGGCTTTTGCATATGCTGTTCCTCTGCCCCAAACACTCTTCCCTACCCCCTTTCCTTCCACCCATCAGCTCTCAACTCAAACTGACCAGTCTAAGGCTGGGTACCCTAATATTCTGTCCTTCAGCACTGAGTATAGGACTTTCTGTAAATTTTTATTTATTTATTTATTTCGAGACAGAGTCTCATTCTGTCACCCAGGCTGGAGTGCAGTGACACGATCTCAGGTCACTGCAACCTCTGCCTCCTGGATTCAAGTGATTCTCCTGCCTTAACCTCCCTAGTCGCTGGGATTACAGGTATGTGCCACCACAGCCAGCTAATTTTTGTATTTTTAGTAGAGACAGGGTTTCACCATGTGGGCCAGGCTGGTCTCAAACCCTGACTTCAGGTGATCTGCCTGCCTGGGCCTCCCAAAGTGCTGGGATTACAGGTGTGAACCACTGCATCCAGCCCTCCTATGCAATTTTCCATTAATTTATTCATTGCCTTCTAAAAACTGAAGTGCTTGGTGCATAATAGGCACTCAATAAATATCTGTTAAAAGAACAAACCAAGAGAAAACATGCGCATATGTGTTGGCTCCCTTCTGAGCCCTCTGTGGTTCATGTGGGCACCTTTCACAATAGCCCAGACCCACATTTCTGGTGGGAAGGGGAGAGGGGAGTGTGGAAATGGGGGTGAGATAGAAGTTGAAATTAGAGTGGCTCCCTGAACTCCAAAGACAACCAGGTGAGACACCCAGGGAAGCATACCAGAAATCTTTTCAGAGTCAGAAGGGGTGAGGATCTGGGGGTGGGGGAATGGCTCCTGGCTGACGCCTTACGCATAGGCCCTTCTATAAAGGTGGGGAGGAGCAGGGAAGCAGGCGGGAGACTCAAGCCTAGGTAGGCGACCTCCTACCGGAATTGCCCCGGCTGGGTCCTTCTGTCTGGGGCTGTGGTGAGCAGAAGAATGGATCTGCTGGGTGTCTGTCTGTCTGTCTGGGAGGCTGCAGGAGGGAGCCACCAGAAATAGCAGGGAAGCAGGTGTGGAGAATCTCCCAAAGCAAGTCTGTCTGGCCAGGTTTCCTGGGAAGGTCCCTGTCTGTCCATTTTAGGGATGCCAGAGCCCACTGAGAGTGGAGAAACAGGGAGTTTAGAGCCTGAAGGTCTGGCTGCCCAAGAGTGGGAAGGAAGTTACTTCCAAATGAGAAGGAAGGTCCCTCTTAGGGCCCTCACTACCGATCCCTCGCCCACCCCAGTCTGCCCCCTTCCCCAGCTTTGGGGACATTCCTCTCCCTGCGTCCCTCCCAACCTCCCACCTACCTTCTTCCCTTTCTTGACTTCATATTCCATGGTGAAGTGTCCCCTCTACTCCTGCCACCCTCCTGGCCATCTCTTCCAACCCCCCCTCAGTTCCTTTGTTCTTTTTCCTGCCTAGTCGGAAACTCCACCAGCCCTGGAGTTCCTGCCCCTCCCATCTGATGGGGAGGGTGGGGGTGGGGGGTGGTGGTATGGAGGACACAGCCTTGGGACCCTGCGGCTGAAGGGTGGAAGTCCAGGCACAGCTGACCTGGGGAGGGAGGCTCAAGGCCTCTAGCCAGAAGGCATGTTACTAGGGGAGCTTGGGAATTGGCCAAGACTGGAGAAGGGCCCCCCAAATTTGAAGTCCTAATTTGGAAAATTCCAAGTTCCAGCCCTACTTCTGCTACTGACCTCGTTGTGTGACCTTGACAAGGCCAGTCAGCTCCCCCTTTCACAGCCTGTTTCCCCCTCCCCTCTATAAATTGGGAGTAAACTTTTTCTCCCTCCCTAGGCTGCTGTGGTGAGAAATTAAAGAGTGGGTGGAAAGTGCCTTAAAAACTATAGAATACTGTAGCTAAGCAAGTTATGATTTAAAAATAATAATCATTACTATTAAGGGAGGCAGTATGTGTGGGCTTTGAAGACAGCCTGCTTGAGTTTGAATCCTAGCTTTGGCACTTACTAGGGTTCTCTTTACCACCAGAGCCTCAGTTTTCCCATCTTTAAAATGAGTATGATACTAGTTTAACTTCATAGGGAGCCTGGAAGGATTAAATGCACCTAGAAGAACTTCTGGCACATATTAAGTACTCAGTAAGGCCGGGCATGGTGGCTCATGCCTGTAATCCCAGTACTTAGGGAGGCCAAGGCAGGCAGATCACCTGAGGTCAGGAGTTCAAGACCAGCCTGGTCAACATGGTGAAACCCCGTCTCTGCTAAAAATACAAAAATTAGCTGGACATGGTGGCACATGCCTGTAGTCCCAGCTATTCAGGAGGCTGAGGCAGGAGAATCGCTTGAACCTGGGAGGTGGAGATTGTGGTGAGCTGAGATTGCGCCATTGCACTACAGTCTGGGTGACAGAGCAAGACTTTGTCTCAAAAAGTATAAAAAATAAGTGCTCAGTAAACATTAACTGTTTAACCTGCCTAGTGGTTGTCAACTTAAAGAACAAACAGAGACTCTCTGAAAGAAAAGATATTTCCCTTAGGAACACTGCATTCTCAGGGAGGTGAAGGAAGACAAAGAATTTTAAAGCAAAAAAAAAAATAAGGATTACGCTATTGTTTTTGAAATAATTATCCTTGGCTACAAAGATCAATAGCAAGAGTGATGCCAGGCTAAAGTTGGACAGCAGTTGGTGGGCAGATGTCCTTGCAGAAGTATTTCTTGCGCAAGGTTCGATGGCCTTTGTGCAAGGTTGGGATTTTTGCAGTCTTTTTTGTTATCTGTTTTGTTATCAGTCTTATTTGTTATACAAGCATGAAAACCCTCTATGGCTTTCCCCAGCTCTATTTGTCAAGATTTTCTTAACATTAGTGACTCCATTTTTATTCTGACCACTTTCATAGGGACTTGAGCTGTTTTACTCTCTTGGGAGTGTATTAGGGAAGCAATGTCCCCTTTGTGGCTCTGTGATGAGCACTTTACATATTTTTTCTCACTCCTCGAAGTGTTGAGTACCATGATTGTACCCATTATACAGACTTTTGTTTTCTTTTCTTTTTTTTTTCTTCGCTCTTGTTGCCCAGGCTGGAGTGCAATGGCGACATCTCAGCTCACTGCAACCTCTACCTCCCAGGTTCAAGTGATTCTCCTGCCTCAGCCTCCCGAGTAGCTGGGATTACAGGCGTGCACCACCATGCCCAGCTAATTTTTAGTAGAGATGGGGTTTCACCATGTTGGTCAGGCTGGTCTTGAACTCCTGACCTCAGATGATCTGCCCACCTCGGCTTCCCAAAGTACTGGGATTACAGGCGTGAGCCATCACACCCAGCTATTATACGGATTTTTTAAAGTGACGCTCAAGTGTAGAGCCTGGTTCAAGGAGGTCAGTGAAAAAGAGGAGGACCTGGAATTTCTGGCTGGTCTAGAGCTGAGCCTAGCATTCTTTACCTCTAGGACCTATGCATTCTATAGGCCCCACCTATGCATTCTGCATGCCCCATCTAGGACAGATGGAAAAGTTCTAGGTGGCCCATCCATACCTTGCCATGACACTTGGGTTCTGGAGACCTAAGCTCTGGAACTGATTTGCTGTATATGTCCTGGTCCAGGTTGCTTATTGTAAATTCTCTTGGCCTCAGCTTTCTTATCTTTCTGAAGGGAACAATAAATCCCCAAAGCCCTGCTCTGCTCGTCAGAGCTGTGGCCAGAAAGTCACAGGCCATGGATGGGAGAGCAGTTGGAAACTGTAAAGTACAGGTACCAGTGCATTAGATTCTACTGAAAGGCTTTTTCTGAAAGCCTGGTGGGAGGGTCAGAGCTCCTCAGCGCGAAAGCTATAGGAGACTCCTAGCCACTAGCCCTTCCTCTTCCTCCCCGTCCCTTGGAGGAGAAATAGCCCAGGCTGCTCAGAGCTGACTCTCACAGCCGCTCCCTCTCCTGCATCCTGCTGGTCACCTCCGGGCAGCAGGAAGTGAGATCTCCACTCAGCCTGCCAGGCGAACAGGAAGAGGCCAGGGCGTGCTAGCCAATTCCTGACTCTGCTCTGGACATGAAAGCTCCAAGTTAACCCCTTGAGCCAGCCCAGAATTCCCACCCTTAGAGCAGCAGCAGGGCATGAAAGGTGAAGTCTCTTGCTCTGGGATCTCCATGACTGGCTTTTGCAAGCCTTCACCTCTCTGTCGGCCTCAATTTCCTTGTCTATAAAATGGGAGCTTACGTTATTCCTGGACTAGCTCCAAACATCACTGAACTGCTGGGAATCTCAAATAGGACAATAAGTGTTTTGAATGCGACTAAAACTAGAAAACTGTCTCTGTATTCCCTGCAGTGCTCACTGCAGGGCCTTAACAGATGAAGTGCTTAGTAAAGGGCAGCAGAAGTGGTTGGAGATGGTGGATGTAGGTTCAGACGTCTATGACCTTGAACACATGACCTCATCTCTTATAGCCTCAGAGCCCTCATGTGTCAAAAGCAGGATAATGGCGGTACCTGCCTTGGAAGGCTGCTGCAGGGATTGAATGGGAACAGAAATGCACAATGATAATATGTTATTAAAATTAGCTTGTGAATCAAAGAAGAGATGAGCAAAACAAAGTCCCTGCTCTCAAAGACTTAATGATTGTGGCAGATAGGATTCATCTCTTTGGAGCCACCTCCAGCTGATTGGCAGGGGCTGCCTGGAGGGCTGCGTAGAGGATTATAAAAACTGGATGTACTCCCAGCGGGAAGAAGGGATTGATTATCAATGCCTGCCACAGGCAGGAGTGGGGAAAGTAGCAGCAGGTGGTCAGTGCACTCACTGACTGTGATCTGGTTAGAGACAAAGACATACAAGCCAAGAACTCTGATAACAGGCCAGCAACTTGTTTGGGGAAGGCAGAATCAGGAGCCATTCCCCGAGCCGGTGGCATTCAAGCCAAACCTTGAAGGGTGAATGGAAGGAAGGTCACCCTGGGCAGAGGGAACAGCTTGAGCAAACATAGCGCCAGCATTCTGGCTGCAAGAAACAGATAACCCTGCCAAGGTAAAGCTTAGACAAGAAGGAAAATTTATTTCCTCCTAAAACAAGTCCAATAATGAGTGCTTTCAGGTTATTTGAGCAGCTCAGCACTGGCATCAAATTCCTTTATATTTTCTACTTTGCTGGTGTTATTGTGTCCCTCCAATGTATTTGTTGTAACCCCCAGTACCTCAGAATATAACAGTGTTTGAAGATAGGGTGTTTTTTTTTTTTGAGACAGAGTCTTGCTCTGTCACCCAGGCTGGAGTGCAGTGATGTAATCTCGGCTCACTACAACCTCCATCTCCCGGGTTCAAGCCATTATCCTGCCTCAGCCTCCCAAGTAGCTGGTACTACAGGCGCATGCCACCATGCCTGGCTAAATTTTTAGTAGAGACAGTGTTTCACCGTGTTAGCCAGGATGGTGTCGATCTCCTGACCTCATGATCCGCCCGCCTTGGCCTCCCAAAGTGCTGGGATTACAGGCGTGAGCCACCGCGCCCGGCCTTGAAGATAGGGTCTTTAAAGGGGTGATAAAGTTAAAACAAGGTAGTTAGGATGGGCCTTAATCCAGTCCCCCCGGTGTCCTTATAACAAGAGGAAATTTGGACACACAGAACAGCAGGGTCACTTGTGCACAGGGAAAGGCCATGTGAGGACATGGTGGGAAGACGGCTGTCTGCAAGCCATGGAGAGAGCCCTCAGGAGAAACTGTCAGAGGCGTTTGAACTAGAGCAACTCCATCTTGAATACAAGCTCAGTAGAATGAGGCTGAGACCTACTGGGCTGCATTTCCTGACAGTCAAGGCATTCTAAGTCACGGGATGAGACAGGAGGTCAGCACAAGGTACAGGTCATAAAGACCTTGCTGATAAAACAGTTGCAGTAAATAACCAGCTAAATCCCACCAAAATCAAGACAGCCATGAGACTGACCTCCGTTGTCCTCACTGCTATGCTCCCACCAGCGCCATGACAGTTTACAAATGCCATGGCAACATCAGGAAGCTACCCTATATGGTCTAAAAGGGGGAGGCATGAATAATCCTCCCTTGTTTAGCATATCATCAAGATATAACCATAAAAATGGGCAACCAGCAGCCCTCGGGGCTGCTCTGTATGTGGAGTAGTCATTCTTTTATTCCTCTGCTTTCTTAATAAACTTGCTTTCACTTTACTGTATGGACTCACCCTGAAGTTTTTCTTGTGTGAGATACAAGAACCCTCTCTTGGGGTCTGGATCGGGACCCTTTTCCTATAACAAAATCAACTCTGCCAATGGCTTGATCTTGGACTTCCAGCCTCCGGAACTGTCAGGAAATAGATGTCTTTTGTTTAAGCCAGCCGGTCTGTGGTATTTTGTTATGGCAGCCGGAGCAGACTCACACAGCTAGCGAGATGCTGCAGCAGCCTTGGGAGTGGCACATGATGCCATCCCAGG